CCTACAGTATTTTTACAGTCTTTATTTTACAGTTAAAATATATATTTATTAAATAAAGTCTAATGTTACAACTAATCATGGATCACTTTAAAAGGCTGAAATACACCTCCACCTCCAGCTATACACAAACGTGTCAATGCCCTGAATTAGCTTGTAAAAATCTACCAAACTTGAGGAAAAAAACTGCCAGTCAAGGTCATGAGTGAGTTTGAGTTCTGTTTAAATATCACCAATGAATATTTCTAGAGTGCACACACAGAAAACAAACCCAACAAATAAACCAAAAGAAGAGCCTATTCCCCCCAAAATGTGTCGAATATAAATAAAATATAATGCACTAATTTGAATATCTAATAAGCCCACTTTTCATCCATATATGGTAAATATGTCAAGGATGCCCCTGAAGGAATCCATTTTATAAATGATGCCTTCAGGGGCTTTTTACCAAAGTGCAGCAGGATAAGATACTTTTGAATTTGATGGCAGCAACACCCCTGTAAAAGGTTGGACCAGTGGCAACAAAAGTGTGGAAAGGTAATTGGTACAAACAAACAGATGATGGAGCATCATATAACTAATTAGGTCAATTGACAACAAGGTCAGTAAAAGGACTGGATGTAAAAAAATAGAACATTTTAGAGACTAAATCTCTCTGAAGTAGATGGTAAAGCATAGTATAGTTTGTAAAGTAACTAGTGTGTGAACCTCTGTACGGATGCTGCTGTGACACCTGAATTTCTCCTCTGCGGGACAATAAAGGCTATTTCTATTCTATTCTAGACAGGGATGTCCCGATCCAGATTTTTTGGCTCCCGATACCGATCCGATAGCTTTATCTCTTTATTTCTTTCCGAGTGTCAAGGTTGGTAGTATTAAAGCGAGCCCTGCTGTTCCCACCACGAGAAACATCCAGTTTGCAGATTTTGCAAGATGCAGTTTCAGCATCATTGTTTCCATTGAAAAGTGTTCCCACACTGTGGACATACTTGCATACTTGTGTGCGTCTTGACTTCTTAACAGCAGTTGTAAAGCATGATGATACTGAAAACTGTCGCTAAAAGTGGATCGGCCCGATCACATGACTAAATCCGATTCTACCTGATTTTCAAAAAATGGCCATTACAGTGGTTTGCAAAAGTATTCATACCCCTTGAACTTTTCCATATTTTGTCACATTACAACCACAAACATAAATATATTTCACTGGAATTT